GCGGAGGAGAAGGGTTTGAAGCAGAAAAGGGCATCGAAGCAGTTCCACAGGCCTTTTTATTGTGAGAATTTGCGAGGGAATGCACAGAAGTGCGGGGAAATTCGGCCAGAAAAAGCGCCCGAGGGGAAGCTCCCAGTGGTAGGGCTGAAAGTTGAAGCACGCTGAGGGAGATGACCAGCGCAGCAGCTAACATGAAAAAGTGGCAAGTTTCGAGCGCCACAACAAAACGACCCAACCGATGGGAAGAGGCCGTCAATGCTGTGTGAAGGATGCGAACGCAGGCATGGGAGGCTTGTGAATGTCTGGGAAGGTCTGGCAGTCGACGCTCGCTGAGAGACACGACATAGACCTGGCAACCTCCCGTCCCAAGAATGCGTGACGCGCGCGCCGTGCCTCATACAACGCAGCCCCCGAATCTGCTTCTACAAGCACAGGTGTCTCACGTGAGGAAACACCCTCGGCTCACTCTGTGGTCGGACTCATGGCCTCCAAGGCAGCCCCTCCCTCCGGGTCAACCTCCTCCCCCTTCACCATCGCAGATGCTGCCAGGGCGGCTTGGTCTTGCGTCTCGGACGTCTTTTCCCCTTCGCCTCCGCCTCCGTCGAAGGATGACACCGCGGATATCACGGTGGTCATGACCCTTATCCTGCTCGGACAACTCGCTGTACTCTCGGTTGTCTTCGTCTTCCTGACCCCTGCCAAAGGCGGAGGCCGCTGGCTCCCCCCCGCCGACACAGACAAAGGTAGGCGATCCTTCGCTACCCCATCAAGAGCCTGTCAAAATTGAAAGAAACTCTTTCCATCAAGTCATATCTTTACTCTTGCTTTGGGAGGATCGAAAAGGAAGATGCGCTGGTGCTTGCACTTGACCCTCTCACCACTCTCTCACCCTTTCCCAACCATAATCACTTTCCCAGGCGCATACGAGCGTTTCGTGCTAGCGTACTCTCCCGTCTGGATGGGCGTGTTCGCCGTCATCATCGCGGGCCAACTGTACGAAACCTTCACTGCTCACACCTACATGCTTGTTTGCACTACCCTCTGCCTCCCCCTCTTTTTCTACCCCT